CTTGCTCCTTTGTTGGCCTTGCACTGCAATATCCCCAAGCCAAAGAAAAATTTCTATCAGGAGAACCAAGCTTTGCCCAGCCCCAAATGCCATTAGAGCCACTAAAAGTGACACCTGGGACACAGTTTCATTGGCTACTCAGTGTTAATCTCCCAAATTCCATGAGAAAAGAGAGGGAGAGACTGCCTTTTCAGTTGCCTTTACAGTTGTTTGCCCTCTCAGGCAAACCCCATCATTCATGCTTGATGCTCTTCTCTGCATTCTTTACACCTTAATACTCTACCTTCAACCCAGAGAACTCTAACATATGCGAGCAAGAATACCATCCAGCCGAGGCCCCCTCAGTCCAGAGGTGAAGAAAGGCTTGTGACAAATGGGTTAACGTCACTAGAAAGCCATTAGTCTGGGACAGATCCCTGCAGTGAAGGCAGAGCCCACCTCACCTGGAAGACGACAGGCCTGGAATCTTACTGGAGCCCTGCACGTGACAGTTACACATCAGAGGGAAGTTCACAGACTGTTTCCTGGAGGAGTTATGTCCAGCACAATGTGGCAGACTAACCTGGAGTGTGGAGAAGATTTGCCCAAATGACTAAGCCTAGTAGAAGCCTCGAGAGTTTGGTGACTGTTGAAGTACCAGTCCCTCCTTGTCCTTTGGTTTCTCCCGTGATTCTCTTCTCACATTGCAGGATGAGGGGAGCATGAGCTGATTGAAACTGAATACATGACCATCTCCTGGCAGGGTTTTCTTATAGCGGCCCACTTATAAAATTATAAATATCTCAATATTTATAAGCGGCCCACTTATAAATATCTAGACTGATAGCTGCTTTTAGGCAATGGAGGAATTATCTTGTTCCATTAACTTTTACTAAATTCTCTACTGTAGTGGTAAATGCATATGGCAGACCCTTATGAGAACAGAAGCAGTGAATAAAGCCATTAAATCCATTTTTTTAAAAAAGAGTCATTCTTCTTTACATAAGATAGGATTGTTTTATTAAATATTGTTAGAAAAACAACAACCTAAAATGAAAAGTATTGAATAAGGTTGGCAGGTTTAAGGATGAATATCAGAAAGCCAGACATTTTTTAAACACCTATGTGTTAGGTGCAATGATAGAGGCCAGGCATTCAGTCCTGCCTTTACTGCAGTCCATTCAGCTGGAGAGCAGCATCTAAAGCACACAGTCTGGGACATGCTCTAATGCGAGTTTTGTCCAGGGGGGCTCAGAAGCCCCCTCCCCAACAGGTACACCTGACCCAGCTGGCTTCTTTGAGGAGGCACCTGACTGACATCATTAGTGATCAGTCACGTTTAGCTTCTTGGGAAGGATGGGGAAAGGTATTCCAGTTAGTAGGAACAGCCTGTGCAAGGCCACAAGGTTGAGACTGAGCCTGGTATTTTCAGAAAGCTGATAGTATCTTGCACAAATAGAACATGGTACAATGGGGCGGGGGATGGAAGCTGGCATCAGAAGGGCCCTCTGTGCCAGGCTGAGACGTCAGGCCTGAGGCTACAGCCAAAGATTTTGGCCATAACAAGTGCACCATGCATTTAAGAAGGGTGGCAGTGTTCAGTGCCAGATCAAGAATGGCAAGGCAAGGTGGAGGGAGGGAGAAATTGGTCACAGATGAGGTACCCAACTTGGCTGCATGCTGGGTATTACCTGCTGGGCTTGCCTCACTAGAGCTGTCATGGGGAGGAGAAGGCGAAGGCCATAAGGGAAGCACAGGGAGCTGCAGGGCTGAAATGAGAGGAGCTTCCCATGGAGGAGGGGGCAGGAAAGATTTTACATGGGTCTTGCGTTTGCAATTGGCATTGTAGGGAGCAGGATTTTGTCTAGCACACTGTGAAGGTGATGGCTCAGGGCGAATGGAACTCTGGTGGAGCAGAAGAGCATGGCAGGGCTGGAGAGCGAGGTTCGGGGCATGCGTAGGAGCGCAGGGAAGGCAAGTTGGCAGCAACTACATGATACGGAATGAGAGCTTCATAAATACTTTGTGAGGAAGAGAGACTCTAGCTACGACAGCACAAAGCCTGACACGCGAAGGCACAATAATTTCTAATGTCGGAATGGTGCGTGTGTGCGTGTGTGCGTGTGCACATGCATTTGTGTCTGAGAGAGAAACGAGAAACATAAGTCCATGGTTTCATTAAATTAACATCTCAAGACTGTCTCAAAATTATTCACCAGCTGATGGAAAGACAACTATTATTGTGCCTTAAAGTCCTTGTACCTAAAATTTCCTGTCTGGATAAACTCATTTAAGCATAGAGTTTCTGGAAAAATCTGCCTCCTTGCCTCCCTCCATTTTATGATCACCTGGGATGGGAAGCCAAAAACCCGAAACTTACCCTCAGGGCATCTATTCAAAGATACGATTAGATCATCAGAATTAGATTTGATTCTTCCATCAGCCAGACTTTGGATCTGTTGCATATCCAATTATGCATATTCAATAAAGCTCCTCTCTGTGCTCATTCATTTATTTAAACAGAGGCAGGCTTTAAGAACAGGCTTAAAAGGGAAACCAAAGAGCCGCTTTAGCCCCTATCAGGGACAGACATTCTGCCTCCGCGTGACTTACCACACACTTCCTCTCAGACCTGACCAGAGGGGAAGACTCATTGTGACATCAGCACACGCCCTTCCTGCCACCCCACCTTCACCCCACCCAGCTGCAAGCCATCTGAAAGGTTTCCTGGGTGGGGCTGGTGAACACAGCAAGTTAAAAAGTCCTACATGGACAGGATGCTGCCTCTTGGCTTTGCATCCCTTCCACATCTCATTTGTAAGCATCTTGGAAAGAATCTTCTATGCTTTAAGTAGCAGATAGGCACAGCTTAGCCTATGATCACCCATACAGTACGGTACAACACACCACATCCTCAGCCCTTCTGGGAGAGGGACAGTGTGTGTTATGACACCCCACAGATTGGTAGTCAGTGAAGACAGCAGCTGCTGCATCAGTCCAGTGAGAAATTCGTGGTCAGAGGGATTGGTCCCGTCCCTAGGGAACTTTTGGTTTGTTCAGGGAGATACATTTATTACCTTTTAAGTAAATGGTCACTGACACCTACTATGCACCAGGCACTGTTCTGGTGCTCAGCGTAAAGTAGCAAACAAAACAGAAAGAAATTCTTTGCCTCATGGAACTAATATTCTAGTGATAAGTGAAGAGACACAGTCTGCACATAGTTAATAAAAAGGAACCAAAAAGGAGGTAAAAGGTAAGGACAAAGCAATGCCCCGTTTAGAAGGAAGGAGGAGGAAATACTTCCTTCTGGAAAAGGGACGAGTAATGAGGAAATGGAACCATAAAACTTTATAGTCTCAAGTGAATATGACCCCCAGGGATGGTCATGGGATGTTTAGACATTTTCAAAAACAACTACCACATGGTGCTTTATCTCATGTCTGCCGTCCCTAAGGAATGGTAAATGGGGGAGGCTTGGCCGTGGGAGGCAAACACTAGGGGTTCAAGCGTGGCAGAGTGGGTGAGGTTCGACATGTTAAGATCCTAAGAGCCAGGTTTATAATCAACTGATGGTAATCTCCTTCCCAACTAAGCAAACCACGCACGTACTTCAGACAGCTGCTCTCTGAAGCACTGTTGGAGCACCACATCTCCACGAAAGTACATCCATGAAATCACTCTATCTCCAGACAGCCCTCCAAGGTCATGAGGGCTAAGAGGGAGCTATTCAGGAAATACACTTGGGAATAAGAGTTTCGAGAAAATCACCCCCAAAGCATGATAGATGCACCAGAAATTACAAGAATCTAATTGTATATCTTTGCTCACTTTTTTAAAAGTATGGGAAAAACAGACAAACAAACAAAACACACACCAAAAACCTCACTTCTTTTGGGCCATCGATTAAGAAATTGTAGAATTCCTTTTGGTTGAAACGAACCTAGAAAACCTTCTTTCCAATTCAGCCAGCTCCTCCTCTGCAACATCCTTGTCAGGCAGATGTGCAGTTTCTACAGAAATATCTCCATCAAGGGAGATCTTCCTCCAGGCAAAGCAACCTATTCATTAGACAATCAGAGGTTTCAAAATTTCTCCAGATATGTCTTTGTATCTTCCATCCATTGACCCTCGGACTGACATGGCTAAAAACGTAGATCGATATGAATTTAAATATGGTTTTATTTTATTTTTTTTTAACTAAATCCAATCATTAGGCAGA